TCCTTGCCGCTGTTGCTGGCCGAGTACCCGATGAAGTGTTTGAAGCAGGCCGCCACCCCCTGGCTCTGGATGCCATCGATCGCTGCTTTCCCCATGTCCGCAACCACCGTCGGATCTTCGCCAAACGTTTCCATGATGCGTGGCCACCCCTTGTGGCGCACAGGTTCCAAGGTCGGACCGAAGATCCACGAAATCCCCGCCGCCTTGGTGTCGCGGCCGGCGTAATGGCCCATTCGACGGGCCAGCTCGGGATCGAACGTCGCGCCAACGTTGATTTGGTGGGGAAACAGAACGGCGCCTTTGACGTAGTTGGCGCCGTGGAGCGAGTCCAGTCCGTAGATGATGGGTGTACCGGTCGTGCGGATGTGGACATCTTGGAGTTGGCCGATGGCATGGCGCCACTCATGCACGTTCCACCCGTAGTTGTCCCCAAGAGCTGCCACGAACGGCGTGTTTAGGTACGATCCGATGCCTTGGTTGGCCAATTCGTGGACTTTTCCCACGTTGACCACCTTGCCTCCGTCTTGTGTGGCAAGCACGAAGTCAATGGTGATCTGCGTCATTTGACCCAGCAACTGGTCCACGCTCATACGTTCCACAATGTCGCGCGCTTTGGCGTCCAAGTCCTGGGCAGCGGACAGTATGGTGCATGCAAGCAAGACTAAAGCCGACGTCGACGTCACTACTCTCATGTTGATGTTGCCAACGTAGGCGCAAATTCGGAATGGGGTGATGACAGTCGAAGGTCCAAATATTACGCATGCTCGTCTTATACCCAGTATTTGGACTTGCCCGAAAATGTGTCATGGTATATCATGTAAGTGCAACTCTGTAGGTCGGAGACCATAAAACCATATGACGTTACTACAGCATTAATAGTATACAGTATTGTCAAATCGATTCGAAACTGCCCTCAGCAGAATCGAATGCCTTTGGAGAATGGATTAAACAACCGCCTAAGCCAATCAAATCACTTCTAATCCCTGCCAATCCAAACGTTTGACTCGACTCTGTCCCTCCGCATTGCGCAAAACCATATATATAGTCTAATCTTTGTAACGTAAAAGTCCAATTTAAGGTGAACGCGAATTAGCCAATCAATTCCTACAAAGGCAGTTTTAAACCTACCCGCCCAAAAAAATATGCAAATGGGTATACAAAGACTAAGCTTAAAATGGTGCACCTTAAATTGGACCGCTTGCTTTAAGCAGCTTCTGGACAAAGTGATGTGAGTGATAATGAATTATAACAGGAATCAAATCGCATTCATGACTCCCGAATAGGCCTGGATTTTGGCTTCATGTAATATATTCTAGAATTATAATCCGATACCTACGACTCGAGTTACACGCCTTCCACGGCAGCATCTCAGAAAAGTGTTCTTAAATTGGACTTTTACGTTATCGTATAATTTGTACAAGCTTAAATTGGATCAAATGGATTCGACTGCATTTGGCGAAATGAATCACAAGTCCAAATTTGGGTGAAATGCACAATTCTACTACCGGTACGATAAATCTCGTCCATCCGAGCGGCTTAATAGTATTGCATGCCAGGTACAGTACATCGCGGAGGAATGTCATACAGTTAATAAGCTCCTGAACCAGTTCATTATTTGCAGATCAAAAATGACAATATATTGCAAATTTCTATACGTATATTGGATATAAGTTTTACCAGAATTTTCTAGCAGAACTTCAATATTTGATCAATTTGCATAGAAATCGGAAGGGAGGTGTGGACTTCGTCAGACATTGTCAAGCAAGCACTTCAATCAATACGTATTTACAGTGATGTTCAAATTTCTTCAATGTTATTGGCTCCCGCCTTTACGACTTTCCCTCCAAAATACCTCTACCTCTGCACACACAATCCACACACAATTCAATTCAGCGACATGGTGTTCAACCCTTCTTCCATGCTAGCCAGCCTAGAGGAGCAATCTGTG